GTCTACTTTTATTTGTGTGCACTCACAATATCAACAAAACGTTGTGCTTTTATAAAATAAAGAAATCAAACATGATGCGCTTTCTGCCGTCTCGGTCTTGAACAGGAGCGCTTCACAAAAATGAACCGAAACTCAGCCAATACATGCCTCACAGACATGATAAATATATCTATAGAACTCTTTAAATTACTAGTCATCACGTTTTTAGACCATTTCAAGTTTTATTTTGACATGACATAAAGTAGTAGTATCTAAGCGGGAGAGTTGTTTACTTACTTTATAATTAAACACCATCATTTTCTTCATTCAGGCCGAGAGCTCACACGAAAACAAGTGGCGGGATTTATCGCATGAAGCAATCACATTCAATCATAACCTCCTTCCATTAATAACCTCCTCTCACGTGACTTTCCCCCATTCACTCTCAATTACAACCCAGAAAAGTCACGGCACGCTAAGGGGTCTCTGCTGAAAGTCTATGGACTGAAGGGAGGCAAGCCTCCGCTGTAACTTTACCTGCGGGTGTTGCTGTTGCACAGTGCTACTTTATAAAAACTAGGGGTGACCCTGAATAGTCGAAGATTCGATGCTTCGATATGAGGAGCCTGATTCGACTACCAATCTCACAGTCGAATATTCACGGGGTGTTATGATCATGCCATTTTGGCTATATGGGGGATGCTCAAATGTCTGATTTCACATAGAATTACTGGTTTTCTCCCAATAAGTTAATATACAGCCTATTAAAATAATGCTTTCCATAATCCATGACCGATAGAGGAGCATCTTGGCAGGGATTTAAATCTTTAACAAGACTCAAACTGACACAGGCTGAGTGAAAGACTGGATTTTTCACTCGATCAGGTAGGGTACAAGTGATTTCAAAACATTTCAGCCGGTTTATATATATATATCGTGTATATATTATTTATCTCGTATAAGATGCATTTGTTTGAGTTGTGCTGCAGTAAAGCGCTTCATTGTAATACTACAGGGCTCAGTCGGGGGACCAGTTCTATAATAATATATAATATTATTTATTATCAGTTATTTATATATTATTGAGTTGTTTCGGGTGGGGATAAATTAAACGCGTTCTGCGATGACGTCATAATCGTGTTGCATTGTGGTCTATGGAGCGGCCTGAAGTGTGTATATGTGCGTCATATGCACAGTTCCGGTCGCTCCACTTGTCTTCACCACCTGGCTATGCTGTTGTAAAATGTTGAGAGATTCAAACAAAAAGTAATAAAAAATAAAACAAAATAAAAAATAAAGACCGCAAGTGACGTCTCTAGCGGAAGCGCAAGTGTCTGAGAGTGCAAGTCTGAGAATGCAAGTGCAAGGCTGCAGCCAAACCCTCTTGCGAATATTCGCGGTGTGTTATGATCATGCCATTTTGGCTATATGGGGGATGCTCAAATGTCTGATTTCACATAGAATTACTGGTTTTCTCCCAATAAGTTAATATACAGCCTATTAAAATAATGCTTTCCATAATCCATGACCGATAGAGGAGCATCTTGGCAGGGATTTAAATCTTTAACAAGACTCAAACTGACACAGGCTGAGTGAAAGACTGGATTTTTCACTCGATCAGGTAGGGTACAAGTGATTTCAAAACATTTCAGCCGGTTTATATATATATATCGTGTATATATTGGAAGTGTGCATATACAAGACATTTTATTAAAAAGTGCATAATTTTAACAAAAATGTTTGCAAGCGCTGTCTGCACCGATAGACTTCGAATCCCGGCTCGCGGTGACCTGTCAGCTCTAAACTGTCTTAACATAAAAAAATGGCAAAAACACCAAAATAAAATAAATAAATAAATAACTTTGCAAATGCTCTAGACCAGTGGTTCTCAACCCGCGGCCCATCACGAATTCAAATGCGGCCCACCGTGCTGAACACAATAAAAAAAAAAATACTTTAATATCGTGTATATATTATTTATCTCGTATAAGATGCATTTGTTTGAGTTGTGCTGCAGTAAAGCGCTTCATTGTAATACTACAGTGATTATCTCTTCAGCGCAGAGCGAGCAGGACAAACAACAATGCAGAATATTAATAACTATGACTGGGACTGTCATATACATAACTATTTTCAGACATGAGCAGTACTCACATAGCCTAATTAACGTTACGTATTTAAAGTAACGACCAAGTGGCCAGCGGCAGACAATGAGCATATGTTTGATCAATTGAGCCTTCTCAAGTCATCACGACTTGACTGAAATAAAATCTATAGATATAAAACAGTTCAAGCGTATAACAATGTTTAAACGTTAAACCTAGATAAATGTGCGCTGTATCCAATAGT